ACAGATTTTGAACAAGGCCTCACACCTACAATTGACCTGAGATGTCACCTTTTGTATCGCTGCCTGATTGAAGTTTGGAAAGTTAGGCAGACACTGATAAAACCTTTAATTATCTCAGGGCAGTGACTTGAAACAGATTCTGGGATTTGCACCTTAATCAATCGAAACTTGCGTCTCTTTTCTAACAGAGTTCTTCAGCAGCCATTTAATGTTTGTTCACTCCACTCACACCAGGTGTATGATCCTTTGATCTCTCTGCCTATAAACTCTGTGTCTGTGTGCCCTCTCTCACTGCACCTGACAAAGGAGCAGCGCTCCAAAAGCTTGCAATTTCAAATGAACCCATTGGACTATAACCTGGTGTCATGTGATCCAACACCGGCACCTCCACATCTTGTCAAAGTTGCTGTGTCCAATTCCTGGAAACTCTTCCTTAACAGCTCAACAGTCTAATCTTCACCATATGGATTGCAGCGCCCATGAAGTAAATTTACTATCAACTTCCTCAAGGGGTCATGAGGGATTGAGATATTGCCAGCAATGCTCCATTCTCTGAAAGAAAAAATAGTTTTGAAGCCTTCTCAAAGGCCTCATGGCTGTGGCGAGATTTGAGCGTGAAACTGCTTTTAGCCTAATAATTTTTAAAACTGGCTGCACTGGGTGGGATGCTCTTCGGAGGGTCAGTGCAGACCCGATGGGCCAAATAACCTCTTTCTACACTGTCGGGATTCTATGGCATTTTCAGCAGATCAAAGAGAGCCAGTGTGTGATTTGTCAAGGTTAAGTGTGCCTGACCAACTGATCAAATTGAATGAGCGATGTAGTGATCAGGGAACTTCTATTGGTGTTATTTATTTGTAGGTCTAGACAGAGTCCCTCAACAGAAACTATTTATTAAGTGTCAAGTGAAGTTTGAAGCAAGTTATCGACATGCTGAGCTAACTGTATGACAACCATCAGGCACAGAGTGGGGCTACTGGCCAGGTACTTCAATGGGTTGGTTAGATGTGATAGTGAGGTTGCATTCTCTTCATGGAGAGGGGAATCGGGAATTTTCTTGAAATTGTGATCCTGCCTCCCTCTCAGCTATAAACGTTCCCTCTGAGCTGCAGAACTACTATGCAGTGCTGAGGGTCCATGCTGAGACACTAATTTCTGATTTCAGAAGTTGCTTCTGCGAATGGACCTCGGAGGTCTATGCAGAAAGAAAAAAGTAAGAGGGATCGAAGTTGAAAGTGCGAGAAGGTGGGGTTTTCCTATTACAGAGGTCGGGATAGTCAAGATGGAGGCAAACTGATGACCTGCCGACCATGTTAAAAACTGCAACACCGTTCAGAGGGAAATTGATCCAGCTCTTCAGATCAGTGTTAAGGCGTTCTAACCTTCACTCCCCCTTAAAGCCTTCCCCATTTTCACCTACACCACTCCTTCAAAATCTAAAGATTAAAGCCAGACCCTTTAGGAGTGAGTTTAAGAAGGGTGTTAAAAGTTTGGAATTCCCTTCTGCAAAAGGCAATCAATATTACATCAATTAACAATTTTAAATCTGAGTTGGGTTTATTAGCCTAAGGTGTGAAGGGGTAGAAGGAAAATGCAGTTATTTATATCGAGGTCAGTGATCAGTGATAATCTCAGTGTTTGGTAAATCAGGCTCAAGGAGCTAAATGGTCTACTCCCTGCTCCTGAGTTCCAATTTGATTCTGTAACTCACACACTTGGCAGCTGGGAAATTGTAACTGCAAAAAACAGTTGCTGATATTGGGGACTTTGCTTTTTTATTCATTAACATGATTAGGGCATCACTGACCAGGCCAACACATATTGCCCATCTCTAATTGCCCAGAGGGCAATTTGCGATCTCTAAAGGACATTCGTGAACCAGATGGACTTTTCTGATGATTGACAATGGATTCATGGTCATCACTAAATTTTTAATTCCAGATTTTTATTGAATTCAAATGCCACCATCTAGCATGGCAGGATTTGAACCCAGGTCCTCAGAACATTATTTGGGTCTCTGGATTAACAGCCCAGTGATAATACCATTAGGCTGTGCCTTGCTTTTGCAACATTTGCTTTTCTTTGTACACAGGCACTCGAATGCAATGGGGGTGAGGAAGGTGGATCCTCACTGTGTTGGTGAATGCCCATTTCCAGCAGCGCTGAGGATAACTGTGCCCTGGAACCTGAGGCCAGTTCTGCTGCAGTGAGAGGTTCTGAGAAAGGGAAGCCTTCATGGAGATGGAACCAGTAAACATTTCGAGGCTGCAGCAACATCAGTTTGGGTTGCCAGTTACTAGGACTTGGAACACTTTGGAGTGATCTAAACTGAGAAACACAAGCAAGTGGGGGAAGACGTCAGCCTGGGGAAGGATAGCTGGCAATAGCACACCACTCCATTCACAAGTGTAAGTGCATATTTCCAGCAACACAAGTGGGTGTGATTTGGAGTCCACCCCAGCAACAGGAAAGATAGAGCCAAGAGTCAGGCGGCACGCTGGCTCTGGCGGGACTCTGCCATTTTGCTGCTTCTGCCCCAATTATGACCGCGACAAGAAGGAGCATGGGAGGTCTTCCAACTGTGCCGCCATGTGAGGCCAATAATTAGGTGATTAAATAGGCATGCTGCAGTGTTCCAGCAAGTCTCACTGCAAGCTCAAAGAACAACATCTCAGTTTCTGCTTGGGGACCCTGCAGCTTCTAGGACTCATCGTCAAGTTCAATAAATTTACAGCCTGATTCCATCCTTCTATGTCTCTTTTTTAAAACAAACCCCATACCCAGTCCTGTCATAACCCAGGTTATTTTTAACAGTCACCCATTCTCACTCACTCCTATCACATTACATGGTTTGCTTTCAGCATAGCCCTGAGCATTCTCTGCTACCCTCAGCTCTCATTATCACTTATTCAGCTTCTCCTCTGTCCTAACAACGTGTAGAGCTGGATGAACACAGCAGGCCAAGCAGCATCAGAGGAGCAGGAAAGCTGACGTTTCGGGCCTAGACCCTTCTTCAGAAAGAGGGGTGGCACGGTGGCTTAGTGGTTAGCACTGCTGCCTCACAGTGCC